AAATATATCACTGCTTGCAACATAATTGAAGATGTTTTTTACTGTCAATTCAACACAAGGGTTTCCTTGTGCCAGGTAAAAGCTGAAGTATTTTTTTATGGGCTCATAATCACTGAGTAACAAGCAACCATTTTGCTACAGAGGCTCACTCTGGTCTCTGTAGATCAAAAAAAAATCAGTTCTGCCCAGTCACATCAAGAGACCTAAGAAGAGAAGCAACACCAGGAGCTGCTCCTGAAAACTGAGCATCCACCCAAATATGTGCTGATTGTAAGGTCTAAGGCTGCAAAAAGCATCCTAAAGTCTAACCTTGGCCAGTAAGGAAATTTATTTCCAACCATAACAATGAATTCATTTAGTAATCTGCTTCATCAAATGCCAGGCAGCAGGTGGAAATAGGTCAGGGCTCAGAGGAGAAGCTCTCAGAAAACAACCAAAGTACTTTTAAGTGAAAAAGTCCACAGAGATTTATTTTTTCTCTCTCCTCTCCCCCAGTCCTGTTTGTCATGGTTTGGGCTCACAGGCTCATCTCCCAGAAAATACTTGAAAAAACCTTTCACCAAAATGTCTTTTCAAATCAAGTGAATTCTCTCAACATGATGTCTGGGTTTTTTGTTTTTTGGGTTTTTTTTTTTGTTTTGTTTTGTTTTGTTTTGTTTTTTTTCATTTCTGGCTAAATAAAAAGACTTTCAGAAGTGGAGGGCAGTTTGCTTTATTTCTACATAACTGAGAAGTCGAGATTTATTTGATCTGATCCCCAAGAGAAGTGTAGAGGGAAAACAGGATACTGTATCTGTCAGCAAATACATGGCAATCACACAAAGTAAACTCTTGAGATATCTGTAATCTCTTCATTGGCTTATCCCTGGTTCAGTTTAAGGCTCTGGAAGAAGCTACCAAACCTTTTCATGTGAAGTGTGAGATGGAACTTATTAGTCATGGCAATTTGCTTCTTATGGGATGCTGGCAGTCAGAAACTACAGTGTACCAAGCAAAACAAACCTAAAATCCTGAGTTTCTTAGTCTTCCTCAGAGCTACCAGCGAGAGGAGAGTTCCAGGTTAGTTTAACACACAGAAGTTAGCCATATGAAGGAAAGCTTGAGAAATTGAATTTACAAAGCTTTAGGGTTTGGCTTTTGACAATCTTTTTGGGTTTTGTTATCTTCAGCTCATAGTACACAAATACATTTGCTGTAAACCCATTGAATCTGAGGAATGAGAAAGTTGGTTCCAGATTGTTAAAGGGATGTAATTCTAAAAGAGTACTGTGGCAGGCACATTCTTCTCTTTCTCAAGATTTTTTTCATAGAAGAGCACAGAGATAAGAAAAATAATTTCTATTTCTGTTACGGTGAGCTCATGGACACCGCTTTTGCCCCCTTTCCCCAGGCCTCTGTGGCCCTGATCAAGATAACCCCTGGATCCTCCTTCCTGCCCCAACGGGGTTGGCGGGGAGCCAGGAAAGCCCACCCTGTCCAAAACCTATATAGACCCCTGAGACTTCCTGCTCTTTCTCTTTTGCCCCGCTCTCCATGGACACCACAGAATAAAGAGAGCTGTTCCAACTTCCCTGGGGTAAGAGCCTCTTTTGAATACCTTTCCCTCTCCTGGTATTCCTCCCCTCACAGCCCCATATCTCTGAGCTGGTCGGATTCTATTCAGGGGGCTGCGTGGAGGGGGGGAAAACACCAGAAATTACATATTTCTACTCCTTGTTTTTCCCATGGGGAATATGTTTAAAGAATTGTTTACCTGGGGTGATTACTTGATTGGATTCTGGTGAGGATTGTTTGAGCCTGATGTCCAATCCAATCCACCTGTGTCTAGACTCTCGTGAGAGGGTCATGAGTTGTGAGTTAGATATGGCAGTTAGAAAAAGTAGGTATGTGGTTTTAATATCTCCTTTAAATAGTATATTAATGTATATTAGTATAGTTATAATAAAGAAATCATTCAGCCTTCTGAACTGGAGTCAGACATCATCATTTCTTCCCACAGGGTTCACCTACATTTACAATAGGGTACATCTAGAACACCAGAGGCCCTTCCAATCTCTCCTCCAGGCATCGTTTTTCTTGCACCTTTTTCTTATTATATTTTAGTTCCTAGGTGACAAGACATTATTCACTGAGAAAAATAGATTCATCTATAGCTATTTATATTTTCAAAAATGAGAGGGTGTCCCTCTGTTCCTCTTACTTCATTCTAGACAGATTAAAAAGATCTTAATTCAGGCAGACAGAACATATACATAGGTGTACCACATACTTAAACATCCCATAATTCTTGGGCAAAACTGACAGATTTCAGGGTATTTGTCAGACACCTAAGAACACTACCAAGGCACATGGGGCTTGAAAGAAGCAGCAGGATGAAACAGGAGTTCCCTCCTCACCCAAACAGCCGGAGCCTGCCCTGGCTCCCATAGGAGGTGCCCATATTGTCTGGCTGCAGGGCAGCTTGGCCCTCGGGTTAGTTTGGGCCTCTCTCCCTCCTTCAGGAGAGCTCGAGGGAGCCATGGCCACCAGCTCTTACCTCAGCAAGGGCTGCAGGGAGTCCAGCCCTTCTCTGCTCCTCAGGAACAGCTCCCCAAGCCCATACCTGTGCCTTGCAGCTGCTCCCCATGCCCGGCCCGCGGGGTGCCCTCCTCTCCCCTCCCCTCCTATTGCAGCTGTGGGCCCAGAACATTCTCTGTCCAAACACCACCACATAACCTGCACGTCCAGGTGAAACCTCGTGCAGAGACAGTGTTGCCCTGGGGTAGGGTAGAATGGCCTTTTTGCAGGGCAGGAGGGTCAGGGCAGGGTTAGTGCCATGTGAAGTGGTGGTTTGGCAACTCAGGAGTGCTTGAAAACAGCTCTGCTTCCCTCCCTGCCCAGCTCAGCGTAGTCCATGCCAGCTCCGGTGTCTGGTGCATGCTAGCAGCTCCACCCTACCCAGGCTGACAAAAATAACCAGAGTCATGCTTTACTTCTTTTTTAATTTCTTTTTGTTTCAAATGTGGGGTGAAACACCTGGTAGGTATGACAGTCTGTCCTCTGTAGGGTGAAGTAAGGTAGAATTGCCAGCCATGAGGGTGAGCTGTGCCAGCTTAACAAGAAGCTGCTTCAGACTCACCAGCAGGACCCTCACCACGAGCCCATTTCTCACAGTAAGATTTCATCCATCTTACTGTACATCCACATGTTTTAGGGTGAAAAAAGGGCCAAACCAAACTTCAGAGAGATTTGGTTTTCCTCAGTTTCAAGTTATTTAGTAAAAACACAAAAAACTTGCAAGTTTTCATTTGGCTTTGTTGACCATTCTTTTTAGCATCCTGCTTTTTTCCTTTAAAGGGCAGGCAAATATTTTTTTGAAGCAGCCCACTTAGCTAGAAAGTAAAGGAAGAGGCAGTAAAAATTGTGAGTTAAATAGAATTTTTTTTTTTTTTTTGAACTTTAACACTTCTCAACGCTGATCACTCTTTAAAGTTAATTCCTTTAGCTAATTACCTTAATTCTTTTCCTGAATGAAACAAGCTGCAGAAACTTATGGACAGAGGAATGTACTGAGCTGTATCTATAATTTCTCTGTAAATCCTTAGCCCTCAGTTCCTGCATCTCCTTCCTTTTCCTCAGTTAAAATGATGCTGAAAGGGATATCAGAGTAAATTCACAACTCTGCTGAGAAAGTGACCACAGCCTATGCAGGAGTAAGTATGGTGCATAACCAGGGGCTCTCTTATGTAATTTTTAGCTCAGAAAAGATGAAGCACATTAGATCTAGGAAAGAGGCTTTGTAGAGATGTTAGTCCTCACACACTTCAGAGAAGCCCGTGAAGAGATGTGTAACTTGTTCAAACCTGGAGCAGCACTTTGGGTATGCTTATATTGAGGGCCACGTTTTGCAGTTTTCTAGGAAGCAGAGAAGAGAGCCAGAATCAGCATCCCTATTTTCCAAAATGACTGTAGAGATATTCCAGTCCCTCAGGAAGCTCTATCCTCCATAGCATCCCAAGAAACAACAAATAAATGCTACCACAGCCTAGTGCAGGCTCACTCCAGACATCTCTTTTCAAGGAAGAAATTTAAGAAGGCAGAATTCTCTTGTATGACTTTCCCTGTATCCCAGTTGTCTCAACACATTTTTGTTTTTCCTGACAGAAAAAAAAAAAAAAAAAATAAATCACTGACCCATCTGTCCATCTGTCAATGCCATCTCTGCTCCAGTGAGCTGCTTCATGCATTTGTTCACAGAGGGCTGAATGATGGACCAGCGCCAAAGTTCTAATCAAGAGAAAAGCTACTAGTAGTTACAGCTCCTCAGCATTATACATATTTCTGAGTGTGACTGATTAAGAGTGTTGTTTGGAACAGGGGAACTGTGTCAGAGGTGCCACATCCCATAAATTAGTTTAAGCTGAGGTAATGTATGTGCCAACATAAAGCAATACATCTGCTAGCTCAACAAGTTTGGCAGGCAAATGTCTGAGAAAACAAGACCATTTTCAGGCACTTAATCCAACTGAGGAGACCCTCACAGGAAAAACTTTGTATTTTATTTATTTTTTAAGGGGAGAGAAAATACCTGAGAAAAAAAAAAAATGTTGGTGTCCAGACTCCATTAAGTTAGACAGGAAGAACAGTTTAGTTCTCAAAGCAAGGCATTTGCCACCAGGGACTCCTGAGTTTCAATCCATCTCCTCTGCAACCTCTGTAATGCTCTACAGAAAAGTAATTTAATTCTAGTCCAGACAGTGAACTTTGTGTGCTGCTGAGCAGATTAGTCATACAAGTGTGTTCCTTTCTGTAGGACTACTCATGTGAAGAAGTTATCAATGGGGAGAGAGGGAGCAAATCTGGCCCTCTGTATGGAGTCACACAGAGGGAGAAAAAGCTACCACAAGTTTTAATTGGTCTGACCTCCTTGGAGGAAAAACTGTCTACAGTAATGCTGGAAGGAATTGTAAGAAAATTAAGGGACCTTCTGATAGGAATATCTGTTAATCAGAACAGCAGTCTTTTAAGTAAGAGAAGCTTTATTGACTGTTTCAAATACAATAAACTGGACTAAGGAATTACAAATGCAAGGAATCAAACCCATTTCACCAGAAACATTGAGTAAATGAGTCAGTAGGACTTTTGTGTTTGTGGCACCCATCACTTCTTACCGTAGGTGACTAAGACACCATACTTGCTGGCAATGCAGCCAGAGAAATGAACCCAACCAAAAGCCACCTAGAAATGTCATTTTTCTTTTGAATCAGAATTGGATTGCAGTTTTGGAGGCTTGTGGAACTTCAACTAGAACTAGACCCTCTCAAAGTTTACTTTAGTTATTTAGCAAGGAGAGGCCTCTGCCTGAAGCTCTGTTCCACTGACTCAGTCTCCAACTGACTGTTGTGAGTCAGGTGCAAGAGGTTAACAAATTATTAGTGATCTGAAGTGAAACTGAGCAGGAACAATTTCAGCTCCAGATTAACCTGAACTGGAAAGGAGGTAAAAACCCAACTCGCTTGACCTCCTGACGTGACAACATCCTTGCTGATGCTACAATTTCCTAATCCTGTTGATATACCTGAGGGGAAATCTGATGTGAAGCAATCGTAGGAAACCATGTTTTATTCAGCATTTATAAACTTTCTGTTGCTGTCAGTAGATTATCTGTGTCTCCACTACTTGTCTTTGTTGCAGAGGATTCCAAAATTAAACATTATGAGTCCAGGGAGATAGTGGTTCGTTCTTCTGAAAAAGAAAAGTAAGATGCCATACAAAGAATCCAAAGCAGGTTGGGAAGCAGGATGTGGAATTTCTGGAGTCAAACCAATTTTCTGCCCTACCCTACATGTACGATTCAGTCAAGTGCTGGTGTTCTAGATACTTGCAAAAGACCTATTGCTTATTGTGTATTGCTTTTCTCCTTAAGGAGCACAATAGGCAGGTCCTGAGTAATTCAGCTCTCAAGAAAACTGTTTTCAAGAGCACATCTTCCTCAGCCAGGCAATATTCAGCTGTATTTTGTGCCAATTACCAGATACAAGTAGAGGTTCAATTCTTCCTTCTTCCCTGACCACTCAGATGAGGAATATTACATAGATTTTCTGGATTGTGATTTTCAGTAGTCTAGACCTGAGCTGGGCTGCAAAAACGTGTTTTGCCAGGACAGGAAAATATATGAGTGAAACACTACATGGCTCTGCATCCCAGTTATACCTTGCATAAGACTGATGTTACTGTGGTATTACCTGGCCTTGATTATGGCACCTGGATGGCTCATAACCAGAATATTTTCATAGAGGAGTTGGGGAGAAGATGTGAAGGTGAACCTCGTCAATGAATGCATTACTTTGTGCTGCGGACAATAAAAGCTGTTAGCTCACTTGGAATTCACTGAAGTTACAGTGTACTGGAGGACATGTATCATAGTTTATTCATTTTTTCCATACCAGAGAGGGCTCTCTCTGGGCAGCACTTAGTCCATTTTCCATTAGGAAATATTCCCCTTTCAGAAGCCCATGACCTGGGAGGGTGTTTGTTCTAATTTTGGGGAAAAGAAAACTTCCACAAATTCCAAGGACTTAGTGTCACTGATTGTGTTGCATTATCCAGAATCAAAGAGCTTAATCACCATTTACACTAAAGCCTTTAGCGCTGCTCACGCAGAAAATTGTACTGTCTCCTGCTCTCATGTTCCTGCAGTCTTACATTGTCAAGAATTTTAAAGTGCCTGGGAGAGGCACAAGGGCACAGAGATGAGGCTTGCAGTTTTTAAAAGCCAGTGTACAAAGCATAGCAGTGAAATCCACAGCTCAGGTTCAGGCCTTGCCTCTAGAGAGTTCTGTTTGCATTGTCCAGGTACCAAAACTACTTCAGAAACAGTTTAATGTGGAAATCTAGTTGGGCTAATTGACTTTACTGAGAAGATGAAACACGTTCATGCATGGGACTGGCTCACTTTTCTCTCCAAAATACTATTCTTGAGGAACGATATATTCTTGACGCATGATACTACTATTCGTGAGATAAAATACTATTCTTGTGCATCATGTGGCAGAAATTATATTGGGTGACTCAGTTCAAACTCGGATGGGGCATGAGGGACCTCATACCCTTTAAGTATTAAGTCACAGAAAGACCACAAATCCATCCAGCATACTCAGACATGCAACATGTAATTAACACATTACAGGAGACTGAGAGCTACCACTGGAAAGGCAATTGCTTGACAGCCTGAGGAACAGGACTGTACTTAGCAGTCAGAAGTGTAAGGCCTGCTTGGAATTTGTAAAGGAAAATGAGTTAAAGTAGAGGGCAACAACTGTGTTTTGTGCAGCACTTGGCTGTGCTGCCAATGAAAGGAAAAACAGACTCAAGTTCATAAGCACTTCATGATCCCTTGCTTTGTTTTCTCTTCCCTCACCCTAACACCTTTCAAACTACCTTATTAACGTAAACCACCCATTCACTACACAGAGGTTTACTATTAACAGGAGTTTTAGGGCGGAGTAATAGTTACACAATGGCGTCTGCAGCTGTTTTACATTTATTTATCCAGCAGTGTTTTCAAGTTTCTTGCCCAAAATCCAAACAGACGCCCTCTCAGGGAATGCAGTGTCTAAAGAATGCACACATGCAAGGCTGTCTGAAATTTTAATTGCACGAAGATCAAGAAGTTCAGACTGAAGGTTTGCAGAGCAGCTCTAACCCTTCTCCCTGGGTGTATCACATTGTTACAATAGGGTCTTTCATTACATAATCATGAAGAGTGGGCAGCTCAGCTTGATGTTTGATATGTAGAACCATCCCACACACTGCTAAGGGTTTAAACTCCTTTTCTGTCACCTCAAAATAACTTCTTTATTACCTTTACTACTTCTTTACTACCTTTTGGAATCGTTAGGAGTGCTAATAATGTTCTGAAAAATCCTACAGAACTAGTTACAAGGGAGCCTGCATGTCTAAAGTAAGGACATAAATTCAACAAGGTGCTAAGTACATTCATATCTTGAAGAACAGTGGTGGACTCTGATTAATGCACTCAGTTCAGGTACATCTTTTAACAGTGCCCAGGTGAGTAACAGGACCTTACATATGAAGGCGGGGATTGATTCCAAGTTGTCCTATTGCTGCAGTGTTGCACAGAAGTCAATAAAGTAGGTTGTCATGAATCACTTTTTGAGCTAATAAAATAATGTAAACAATTGTTTTAAGATGAGTTTGATGAGTTCATGAAGAGTGAAAAACTAGGGGATAACATTAAAAAAACAGATTTAGAGAGTTTGCAAATCTTACCCATCACTATGGTCCTCTTTTCCTCTACACTCATTTGGTTTATGCCTCAGTGACTCATTCTGTAACAGCAGTTGAGGTGTTACTGCCATGTCCCAGCAATTCTGGATCAGTCACCGCGGCTGATGCTCTGTAAGAGATTTCAAAAGCTCTCAAAAAATGTGAATCATTTTATGGTGGACACTAAACAAAGCAAGCCTCTGCCTCTGCAGACAGCTTCAGTGTGTCTGACTGATTCACCTGGTACGTATAGAATGCACAGAATAATTACAGAAAGGTTTGGGTGTGAAAACGGTGCTTTGTTTTTCCACATGGTTAATGTATGTGCTCATCTGGGAAAGCACTCTGCCTCAACTTAAAATAGAAGAGGCCAGAACACTAAAAACAACAAAAACACAACGAAAACTATACACTTCATATCAATGTCAGTGGGTAAGCCATCAGCTTTGATAAAAGCAAATCCCTGATGTTGAGTGGAACTTAACACAGTTTTGTTCCAGATTCAGATGTTGGACTTTTTCTTCCCCATATGAATGTAATAGTGCCTTGATCATGCATAAAGTGTGAATGCAATACAATAGATGTAAAGCCAGATTGGATCTAATTACAAACTCCCCACTTCCTCTCCTAGCTGTGGAGTGTTCAGGTACTAGCTTTACCTCTCCTTTCTTATCACTCAGTGTTAAAATGTCTTGTCCTCAAAGACATTCCTGCACAAAATAAGACAAACTGAATCTGAGGGAATGTTAGTCTCCTAGGGAATGATATACTAATTTTACAGTACACTATATTTCAAGCACGAAACCAGGATTAATTTATAATAGCTGCTGATTAAAAAAGTGAAAAGGACCAGATGTTACATTGCACAAAACAAATGAACAAACGACTGATGCCAGGCAGATGCTGGAGCAAGTGTCTTCCTCTCCCTTTAACATACACTGCCTCAGACTCTCCAGGAAGCCTTCCTTAATGGCACTGCTGTGGCAGAACAAATGCTTGGTTTATTCAGTCACTGACACCATACTCCCAGGTCTGTGGGATGTTTTAAGATTTCTGAGAGAGACAGGACATGATTTATATTTAGAGTGAAAGATTGAGCTACCCTCCTGCTGAGCCTCAGATAAGCAGCCTTGGTGGGGCCTGGAAGCCTTTGATGCAGCAAGAAAATAGTGTGGCGCAGTTAGAAATTACTTTAAGGTAACCACGGTGTTAATAGGCTTTCTGGGTGTGAATTAGTGTAGAACTGCAGCGTGAAACTCTTGCCACCTTGAGAGAGGGACAAATAATGTTTGCTGACCAATGATAGCGTGTTCACAATTTGTAAACTATACTGTAGTGTATATAAACTGCCATATTTTAGAGAATAAACGGAGAATGTAGCTTTAACCATATTGGCTTGATCTGCGTTTGTCCGGTCCAGCTCCCCTCATATCATAAGAATTCCCTAGCTTCTGTAGGGCACATTCTTCACCTTCAGGATTGCTTGCCACATTTTCAGCAATTAAGAACTGCATCATAAAGAATTTGTAGGCAGAGCTAAGATTCCAGATTTATGGCTTGCATGCAACCATAAATGCATGTGCCTCTGCCCACCAGCAGTATGTGCTTAATCCTAGTCCAGCTGCTTCATTGCATCTCATTACCAGAAATCAATGTTGAGGCAAATTTAGTTTAAACATAAGATGCAACAAATATATGTTGCATATTGCTTGTTGCATGTGTTGCAAGGGGAAGTCAACCTTTTGACTGGATTGTCATAGTCTCTCCTTTGCTGAAGACTTTGAGTCAGGAAGATTTTCTTGAAGGAAGTTCTGGCCAATAGAGTTAATGATTATTGTGAAATCCTAGGCCACATAGAATGGAAGACAAGTAATGATCATAGATTTTTCTCTGCAAAACATGTGTTTACATAGATAGCAACTCACTGGTTGCACAGAATCCTGAAATACTACAAAGGTCCACACAAACCTACATATTCCCACAAAAATACTGTATATACCAGTGAGTCAACTATTGATGGAGCATTTGTGTGCAGGGTGTTGGGGAAAACATTGATCAAACATCTTTCTTCTGACTAGACTGCTGTGATTAATTTTTACCTTTTTAATTATATTTTATTCCCTAGCTCGCTTAGGCCAACAGGCCATTTGAGCAATCCAGAAAAGTCACAAAATGTGACTAGAACTTGGTACAATAGAAATTTGCTTTCTTTCCAGAAGAAGGAGAAAAAGAGAATTTCAGTGAGTTGGTAGAAGTGCCTGTTGGTTGAATTACTAAAGTATGATGTAATGCACCTTGACTCTCTCTTCCAACTTGGAAACAGTTCAGGCTGCTTCTCCTGCCTGCAAATATTCAGAGCAGGTACCATAAAGGCATAGCTCATACCCAGGCAGAGGTTTTGAAGTCAGGGCAATGATACAGACTCCACTGCAGTGTTTCCTTGTTAATCAGGGTAAGTCAATCATGGTGATTGGAGCTGTGGAACAGCAATCAGGTCCAGATTATAACTTGGATAAGGTGAAAGCCTGTCTACTCCTTCCTGGCTTTCCCTTCCCAAGCAATTTTAAATATAAATTAAAATAAACACAAAAGGTAAACACTTTGTCTGAAAAGCCTGAAAATCACCACTTTGTAAGGCAGGGGCCTGTATCACCTTGGCCAGGAGCCTCTTTAACAGATTCCAGGGTCCTGTGGTTAAATCCAGAATAATTCAGGGAGAGTTTTTCCAGTGTTTACATTAGGACAAGAATTCACACTGAGCAGTAAGTGCATTCCTTTAAAGTTTTGTTTAGCACTAGTTTAACAGCTTTCTATGTGTTTCTTCCCCACTATGAAAGCTGCACAGGAGCAGTGTAAATCCATCTCAATGTTACTTTAAGTCCAGCTTTAGGGTTCAGTCTTCCATAGACTGCACAGTGTGCCTTGCTGCAGAACAAGCTGCAGTTGGAGCTGTTAGTGCTTGTTTTGATACAGGTGTTCACTACAACAAAAGGGAGTGAAAAACAACCAAAGAGATTCAGGACTAACCAAGTTTTGTTTACCACAGATTAGAACTACTGACTTCCAGGTGAAAGACTCCCTATGTTAGTAGCAATTCCTCTCATCCCTCCTTCCTTTTGATGAAATGCTCCTGTAAACTGTTTTTTCACAGTGCTTCTGAAAATAGCTGGATGTTTCCAATGTTTCCACTTTTCCAATAGAGCATGGTTAAGGGACTTGGCTGCAGAAAACATTCATCACCTTGGCCTTTGGCTAAATGAACAGTGTTGAGAAGCTGACTCTGTCATTAGCCTCTTCAGACCGTAAAGATAATATGCTCTCAGGAACTAGCTCTGAAAGGGGCAAATAGAGAAAAATGCCACCAAGGCTGGATAACAGACACACAATAAGTCCTGATGGCACCAAAGGACAGAATGTATGAACTTCAAATGAAACAATGGCCTTCTTTTATACATGACAATTTCTATGATGGGTGACTAGAAGACATAAGTATTGCATTACCTGCTCATTTCCTAAGGCGTAAAAATGTGTTTATTATGTCAGAATGAGAAAGAATGCATTGAACTTTATAGAAGCCGTATATATGAGTCAATGGCACACACTTGCCTATAATACGGTATTCACCTCCAAAAGCGCCACAGAGTAACAAATGTGACTAGGAGCAGAAGGTTTTTGTACAGGGGAGACTGAGGCTATTGAGGTCAGAATTAAGATGCTTTAAAAAAATCAGGAAATGATCCAAAACCATTACATTATTACAGAATATTGGATGACTGCCACAGAGGCTGTGTAAATCTGTAGCATCATTTTTGAGTACCATGGACTTAATCTTACTGGTGCCACATATGTGCAATGATTTTGAGGAATGTTAAAGTGGGGGGAAATTTGGCCCAGATTAACATCAAACTGAAAAGGGGAGGAGTATGCGGTAAAGTCCGGTTCACATCTCAGAGAGAAAAAAGAAGAACCCAGGCAGCCACTGAGGCAGTCACTGTAGCCAGGAATTTGGTGGCAAACAGAAAGAAAATGAAAATTTTAAAGGGGAAAAAGATCCACACAGAGACAGAGGGAGCCACTGAGAGAATATACTATGAGTTATATTAAGCACAACTAATTCCTCAGCAATGGAGGGAAAAAGGTGGAAGGACATAATTTCAAGCACCAGCCAGTATTTGGTCTTGACTAGTGATACTGTAGCAGCTTTCCTGAAGCAATTAATAGGGGTAATATCTGGATACAAAGTATCAGAATAGGTTTAATTAATTCCATGTGTCATTTCTTACAGTTTTGGAAATAAAAAATTGCTTCAGAAGACAAAATTAAGTAGAACAAATGCACTTTGCACTAGAGAGAAATGCACTTCCTAAGTGGGCAGCCCATGATTTCACAGGTTATTTTGAAAGAATTAAAATAAGCTAAAATTAAAGACAATGTGATAATTGTTGAAATCAAGTAAGTCCAATTCTTTGTTCAGTTACACCAGTTATTATTTTATTATTGTCACTGCAGGATGCATAAGGGAAAATAAAGCCTCTTTTGGAACAGCTCACTAACAGCAATGGATCAAGTTCAGCTGTAAATCAAAGGGGAATCCTCCCTATAAAATGAAGCAGTGTTCTACTGCCCAAACACAGCTGAAAGGGACTGTTTTATAGTACATTGCAGCATAACCAGAGAGCTTCTGTCACCCTATCTATAGCAACAGCCTTGAATATTGTGGTCCAAATTCTCTCATTTATTGCATGTGCACAATGATTTTTAGGGCTTTAATTTGGGAGATTTGGCCCAAAATAAGATAAAACTGATAACTTGACAATTTTGCCTCCTTCTGCACAAAATAAATTTGCTCACTGCAAAGCAGCTGCCCTTCAAATGCCTTCACAGTTTAGGAGACATTCAGTAGTCTAATTCCTTGCCAGTGAAGTCAGGCTGTAACCATGGCAGCTGGGAGTGTAAACCTTCGATGTATGAAAACGTGCAGACTGATAAAGCAGATTGTTGTACAGGCCCATATGTGCTGTGCCTGTGTGTACATTAAGCATGAAAGCTCGTGGCTTTAGGGTGGGAGCGAGGCAGAGGAGAAGAGCCCAGCAAAACCTTCACCAGAGCAGCTCTGGGTAAGCTGCCAGCTGGATCCCAGCACTGCAGGAGCCCTAAGGACACCACTGTGAATAGGCTGAGGGTCACAGGGCAGAGAGGCAGACGGGATGGGAAGGGATAATCCAGCAAAGGAACTTCACTCAGTGCAGACAGTCTCTGGCATAATCCAGCAGTGATGTCCCTCAAGGGGACAAGCACTAATTCCAGCCTGACCTTGGTCTAGTAACTGCATTTGTTGCACAAAGAATAGCATAGAAGATGGCTGTTTCACTCCAGTGAATGCAAGGGGCCCAGGAACTGGCAGCACACCTATCTACAGAGAGCGGAACAGTCTCCCTTTAATAATTTTTAGTCTGGTCAAGCTTTTCTTCATCCTTTTCTAGGGAAACTGGAGCCTTCGTTCCTTCCTTTCATTAAAAAAATGAATGTGTGATTGATGATCCTGGAGCCTGATATCTTCCACGTGTTAAAAGATTAGCTATAGCAGTGGCTACTGCCAACAGCACATGCTGGTGTGTTGCAACCCTAATCTCCAGGGTCCTTTTTGAGGGCAAGAAGCCCATTTCCATGGCCTAGTCAGCCACTGGCCTCTTTAATTCTGTGAAGGCACAAGCACAGCAGTGATTTTGTAAAGATGGGTCTTCACTTACCAGGAATCAAGTTGTGACCCACCCGCTCATCCCAGTGAAGATGCCTGGTGAGTAGGGAGCAGTGACAAAGTGATTTGCACTATGGTAGGTGCAACAAAGCACAGGCAAAATTGAGGTCAAAATCCACAGAGAGATTAAAACCTTTCCTCTTACCGTCCAGGCACACCGGGATGCTCTGAGAATGAGTGGTTCCTCCAGAGTGCCTTTTGGAGAGGGTACTGAACAGAATTTGAACAGAAAACCATATTGAGCTATTTTTTTCATCTCAGACCACACAGGAAACTATTATGATGATTTTGCTGAAGCTGAGCCAGAATGAACAAACATTGACTTTTTTGGTTCAGAAAAACAGAACAGGACTTGACAACTTCACCAGGGACCTTTCTGCATGGGCGCAGCTTGTTTCTAGCAGGCCCTGAACCTCACAGCTTTAGGCATTCACCAGCTTTCCCATCTGTTTTGCCCAAATGTGCACTGTGATGCTGCTTTGCTGCAGACCTTTGCAGCAGTCTGTTCACCACAGCAACTTTTTCACCTGTCTAAATTGATGCTCCTTACTGGAGAAATCTGCCAAGTTTTTTATTCCTCTGTCTGAAATATCCTGTAAGACTGCTGAGATCTTCTGTGTTTGCTCCTTCCAGTTGAAGCACCTGGATACAGCCTTAGATCCCAGATATGTATGTTCCTGCACTGTGCAGGCATAGGTTAATCAGGGAAGGCAGAGAAGCCCCTAGTCCATTGTCACTGGTGAGCCAGATTTTCCTTGCCCTGCCAAAACACCCTAACTACCCGCTGTTGTGCTACTACTTAGCTCCAATTTTTTCTGCTCAAAAAGGTGGATTTAGAAAGGTATAGAAAGCAGTCATGTAGTAGTACCAGAAATGGAAGTAGTACTGCAGCCCTAGCAGAGAAGCAGATGGACAAATTCGTCTCTGTCTTGAGGCTTGGCATGTAAAGCCATCCTCATTGTAATGACAGCCCCCAGCCTTTGTTGATACACTGATAACACCAGTGTCAGACAAAATCTCTGTGTGAACATCACACTATTTTGCCACACACATACTGTGTCATCTTTATCCTGAGGTCCAGAGCAGCCCCAGTGTGGCCACATGACTTCCTGGGCTTGCCTTCATCCAACCAGACAGAATTTCTGATGATGAAGAGGACTAGTGGACCACAGTGAACCCCAGGATGGAATTCATCCAGCTGCCCAAACCAGAATTATCTTTATATTCCCTGTTTGTTTAGACCTGTGACTTCTGTATGGCAGGAGATACCACAGTAACCAGTGAGCCATCACTGGGAATTCACCATAAACCATGGAGTTTTACATTGGATGAGCAATAGCTCCTAACAGTCATAAGAGTTGAAAGTTCTGGAAATGAAGCAACTGATAAATAGCTTGAAGCAACTCTGAATGGCTTAGTCTCAGATGTATCTCCCAATTAATTACTCCTGGGGTATTTCCTTCCCATTCCCCTGCACTCACAGGTTTTCTTTCAAGTAATTCCAATCTCCTCAAGTCAACTTTATTTTATAATGAGAATAAAACAGGAGCATGAAGCTGGAGACTGCGTGCAACTGAAAAGACCAAAAGCTATGAAATTTGTTTTCAGAATTATTTGATATATAATGAACTGCAAATTCAGTAGAGTACCAGCTTGCAACAACTATGCCCTCTACCATCAAGAGCTGAGAAAGAACAATGACAAAATGAGTCAAAGATGCGGATGTCCTGGAGAGAGATCTTCTGACACAGCAGGGCAACATAAACAAGTGTGCTATATATAGGATTGGTCCTTGGGTGAATACACAGATGTTAAAGATGACCTCAAACAGGAGCCCTGTTCAGATACACTAAAAAATACATAGGATAGC